ATGTGTGAAAAGCTTTATCCCATTTGTTTTATTTAATAACGAAGCTCGCGCCAAGATGAATAATAAAAATACTACCAGTTGTTCCGCGTAAAGCTCACGCTACGACGAACGTGTAACTTGATTTTCATAATAATTAAAGAATTCTTATATGAAATAAAATGCGCAGTTGAAAAACACGATACTTACCATGTACAAAGCGCGACGCTTTTGCAACGTTAAAATTGATACCGTGCGTGGAATGTTTTACTAAAAACTCGACAGGGGGAAATAAATAGAGCCTACCGATACACGAGTCCCTCTTCTCTCGCCCCTTTCCTCCCTCCCTCCCTCCATGGCGTTACCAGCGAGGTTGCAAGTAAGCTCGTATATGAACGATATGTGCACAGCCAAATCGATTAACACACTAGCTACACGATGGTCAAAGCAGCCGCATACGCGGTAAAACTATGTCACAGGCGTGAATAAAATATCTCGTAGAAAGTGACTTCCCTCCGTTCGGGGTGACGCGGAACAATGATGTGGAATGCGATGTCCAGCCGGACCACTGTGATGAATTACAGTGGCGAATTTGAAGCTAATTACTCGCCAACATTCGTCCGATCGATTGGGCCAAATATGCGCCACTTAAACGCATCGCATCGATTTCCGATTGTCGTAGCGGCCGGACCGTCAGTTGATGATAAAATAGCTCGTTAGGCATTCTCGCTGACGCTGCGTAAGAAATAGAACACGTGCGATTCGCTGGGAAAATACAGGAGCAAGTTGATGTTTATCTCTTTTTCTTTTTCTTTACGTATAAATGGACCGCGGATTTATTCGCCGGGAGTATCGATAAACCTTTATCTGAAATTCGTGAGCATCTAAATACCATTGGCCATTCGTTCATGCGTCGATAGCGTTTCTAAGTGCGCGATGCTCGCAATTCTGAGAAGATCGTACCGGTATGACCATGAACACATCGCGATTCGCGTGAATCAACCGCACGTATAATAATCATGAATGCAGTAATTGCGAGGAGCGTTTCCGTGGAACGTGAAAATGGTAACTTCCACAGAACCGACTATGTCACTTTAGGCTGCTTCGAAAACTCTTCTCTGAGAGTAGAACAGGATGAGAGATGATGGGGGCAAGGTAGAGCCCGGGTACAAATAGTTTCCAAACGGTGTAAACCACGTAACTATAATTTATCACTTACTTATCACGTCAAGAAAAGGTCCTTGAGAATAGTAAAAATCGGTTATTTTCCTTGGTATATAATTTATGTGAATTAATTTTATCAATTCTATTGTTAATACTATTTTCTTGCTGATTCGACTTGATGTTGCTATGAATGCATTCTAAAATATATTAATAGATTGAATAACCTGAGTAATACAACTTAAATAACATAAATTATATATTTGTACTGTCAGCGTATTTTGGAAGGAACACATTTAGAAGGATATCGGGTCGAATCGAAACAATAAATCAAAAACGCTATTTAAACTCCCATCAAATATAACGAGTTACCCGAATTAATTCTGAAATTTCGGAATAGAAAATTTTTCTCCAGGGGTGCATCCAACCAAGTTTCCGAGCGATCTTACCATCACCTGAACGTTTTCGAACAGCGCGAATCTCTATGGATATACCCAAATGAAGTTTCTGAACGCAGCCCTAACGAGAGCGATGAAGCGAAAAAAGCCACGCGTCGCTGTCGCATGAAAGAACAATAAGTCTCGCGGCGAGAGATATATTTTATAAGGAAAAATTAAAAAATAGGCCAATAAGATCCAATACATGGGTTTAGTGGAAACTAATTTTCATAAAAATACCTGCATTGGCTCTTATTGATCCATTTATTAATTTCTCCTCGTAAAATATGTTTCTCGCCACGATATCGATTGTTCGCCGAAAAATGAATTGATGGTCGGTTTCACCTGACAGTGATAATGAAAAACCAAACGTGTTTTAATGAAAGGAAACGAAATTTCTAATTGCAAGAACCAAATTTGGATTATAAAGGAATTCGAAATTTTGTTTCTTTTGACCGAAATACGTTTGGTTCTCCATTGTCAGATAAATTTAACCACTCATTTTTTTCAGTGCATCGAGCGACAAAACAATGAATAACTAAAATAGAAAATATAAAGTGAAAACTAAAATAGTGAAAACTGAAATATCCGTATATTGGCTTCTATTGGCCATTTATTAATTTCTTTTTCTAAAATATGTTTCTTGCGGCGATATTGATTATTCTATCACGTTTCACGCGATAGCACAATAGATAGTGAAAACTAAAATAAAGAAAACTAAAATATTCGTGTACTGGCTTCTCTTTCGGTTATTTATTAATCTCTTTCAATTGAATATCTACATAGCCTTTTACATATTTCATATATTATTTTTACATTATTTTTACATATTTCATAGATTCTCAACTGAACGTTTCATTGCATAACGATTGAATACAGTCATAGGCTGTATTTCGCGCGACCACACGAGTAACTGCGGGGCCATAAGATTAAACGCTGTGGCTTATACAATGGTATCGTCTCACGACTGCGGGTCGACACTACTAACTAATTCAGGGTCGAACCGATATTAGCTTCTAAGGCGTTCACGCCAATCTATATGTGTTAATAATACGAAATTCAACGCTAATTGGCGACGAATATTACCGTGGTGAATCAATTTTTGTTAATGCATGAAGATATTAGAGAAGAGAGGGTGGAGAGGGGGGGGGGGTGAACCGAGCCTGAAATCGATAGTATGTAATATTCAACTGACATCGCATATAACATAAATATTTGCGAGGATGTACAAATACCATGCGTAACACATACGTTACGCATGTAAACACATATAATTCAGAAATATTGCCAGCAGGTCGCATGCATACATGAATATGATATAGTAAATTCATCGCTTAGTCTTTCCGAGCCTCGCGTATTATTATCTTCATGCATGCGACCTGTATATTCGTAATTCTCACGTTTGAATGGCTACAAATACGCTTTTAGCAGATAACTAGTGTATAGTCAATAACAACGCCGATTTAAATGATGACAGTAATACACGTGTAGCTAAATAAGTAACGAGACGAGCGTATTTTAATCTTAGGAATTGTACGTGATAGAATTCAATCGAATATTCAAACATTCAGATATCGAACACAATACAAATAGAGTTTGAGAAGAATTTCCTTTGTAGATATTTTTCAAATAATAAAATTAATAAATGTATATCTTGCGTTTATGACTTATGTTTCATGTTATTTTGGGTTATTTTATGTCATGAAAAATGTATATGTACATGTATATGAAACGATGAAAATAAATAAAACTCTTAAGAATTATATGAATTAAAGTTTTTGTTTTTAGTCGGAAATTACCGAGATCGCGCGACGTTATACAAGCTGAGCCTTCGACGTCGTTATTTTCGTAAAAGACTGATAAAGTTTTGTAAAAAGGATCGATTTTTCGCGAGTATTTTTACGTGGATACTCCTTCAAAGAAAAGGATGTTCCACTTTGCACGAACAATTTATATCTTACTAAGCACTTCAGAGAGAGAGAGAGAGAGAGAGAGAGAGAGAGAGAGAGAGAGAGAGAGAGANCGAACGAGGTTAAATATAAGTATTAAAGTTACGAGAGTCTATAAGTTCGAAGAAACGCGCGTGCGAACAACAGCAACAGCGGTGATAACGATACAATTCAGAATGCAACTCGCAGGCCACCGTCGTAACAGAGGCACCGACGATCATCGCTAATCGGCACCATATGCGAGATGTTTGCGGACGAGCACATCTCGCGAGAATGTTCATGTATAATCCGATCTTTCCAGTCCAGAAGCTCATTATCGAAATTCTTCGCGTTAAGTTCTCCGCGCCACTTCGCGCTCACTCGCGCGCGCGATCTTTAAAAATATTTCAATGTCATCAGCGTCGCGTCAGGAACGATCGTCAATCGTCACTGATAAGCGTCTCGTTCTACGTGGCAGGTGAAATCCACGTCGCACTAAGCGCTTATGCGCAACGAACGAATAAACGGAAAACGATATGCCGTGATTACGTCTCGATTACGACGCCAGAGAGAGAGAGAGAGAGAGAGAGAGGAGGGGGTGGGGACAGCAAAGCGACTCGACCTCGACATTCGATTTCTTCGGTGACGGTAAATGTCATCTTTCTCTCCAAAAAAAGACGAAGATGACGACGGCGGTAAGTTGACTTTGACGACGATGTCCTTCCGCAATAATGCGATTCACTCGTCCATTTGCAAACAACAATTATTCTTGCGTAACGATGATGTCGCGGAGGCTCACGAAGCGGGGCTCACGGCGCGGCCGCGGCGTGCTTCACCGCTGAACGCACGGTTGACCGATTCTGTCCGTCTGTTTGTCCATCATGACGATCGATGTTATCGTGTGCAGAGAATCATACGGTTGGAGCTAAATGCGCACGCGATATGATTATACGAGGTAAACGTCTTTCGCCAAGGCGGAATAACACGTCGACCTGATCGAGAGCGGCTTTAGCCAAGTTTGGCCGCTTCGCTCGTTCCTTCCGCATGGTAAATGTATTCCCCGCTACACCGCGCCTTTCGGCAAGTGCAAATTATCATTGCGCGGCCGGAAAAATACAAAGCACGAAGGATCGTCGCGGAATAGATATTCAGATGCGACGATGATTACAATCGGGGACAGTCGTAAGGGGGGGGGGGGGGGGCCCGAAGGTTCATCAGGGATTCACCGTAAATGGCGANATGGCGAATCGACAAGTCTCAAAAGTTGTGTGTCGTGCTGATAAAATGAAAAGCAGGAAAACTAAGAAAACATACAGTCGAAAGAACGCGATGTGACAGAGCCGCGGTTTGGCAGTCGAGCGAAGGGGGGAGGGAGAGAGAGAGGCGCGATCAATCGCGGGTTCCCGGCGAGGGAAAGCGATCCTCGCGAAGGAGCGTCATCGTCGGCCCTCCGAGCGAGCGTAGTTTGATCCTCGCGGTCAGCCGCGAGTTTGACAGTTCACGAGGTGACGGGGATATTGGGGTGTGGGAGGGAGCGGCGGGAAGCGTGCTGGGGCAGCGAGACCGTGACGCTGAGGTCCTCGGCGACGCCGGGCGCGTTCGCTGATCGCTGCGCGAGTCGACCTCGCGACATCAATGTCGTGTTCATCGGATGCGTGCTCCTGCATATACCACTTACCAGGTGCAACACAGTGTTGACGACCTCCCGATTGGACACCTGTCCCACCTCGATTAGACCGATCAGCACGGCGAACTTGAGGCTGTCGTTCATCGCCATCGCCACCACTTCCTCGGGCCGCTTGATGTCACTGAACGGCGGGCTCTTTAGGTCCGCCATCGCGACGGCGGTTTAACGCGAAGCGCGTCGCACGCGCGTCCACACCTGTGTGAGGAAACACAAGTCTACGATCGCTTCGCACGAGGTACGGTCCTATCAACGGGAGCGTTTCGCCGTCACATGATAATACAACACAAATTGATCTGCCATGTTAGAAAGTGGACACTGTTATGAGAGGCCTGCCAGCCGCGCCGGCCCGAATGTTCCTAGACCGCTGCCGCCGCGCGCGCGCCCACCGAACACACTGTGGCGCTGCTGCTGTCGCTGTCGACGAACGTTGTCGTGGATGGCGCTGAGCGCGCTGGATAGTACACCGACTTGTCGTCGTCGTTATTGTCGTCATCGCCATCGTGGGTATAGTTGTCGTCGTCATCAAGTAAAAAGTATCTGTATACATCTCGTCTAGTCGCGTAGCGTCGTGTCCTCGCAGTAAAAATGGCGACTGAGGATATTGACCGTGCTAAGGTATCGCATGAGTTTCTTCATTTTGTATGCTAATTGCTCGTTTTGCCAATATCGTAGGTAATAGTACGCTAACGTAGCATTTTTGCGATTTCACCGAATAATCCGAGGCATATTTATCCTTTATGTGTCACAGGCATCTCCTATTGTCTGTATACACACGCGTGTCATCGGGAAACTCATTCCCGTGCGATGCACTTCCGCTTTGCGATATGTTGAAACGCTCCTCTAATGTCGCGAAAATCGATGGATCTGTATTAATTGACTACTATTTTTCTCTCGTTCCCTTTCTCTCTCTCTCTCTTTCTCTCTCTCTCTCTCTCTCTGGGAGAAAGAGAGGAAGAGAGAGAAAAGATTTTGTTAAAATATAGGTTCAATTAAGGTAGTAAGTTTAATTCTACAGAGTTATTTGTCATTAATCCAAAGGTTCGATATGGCTTCCGAGTTGAAATATCAAATTAATCCAAAGATGTTGGTTCTCTCTTGGGTTTTTGTAACTGTACATCCATATTAAGTATGCTTACATTCTTTCCATCTATTTATAGACATAACTTGTTGTATTATTAAAGTCATAATGTCAATTACTCATTTCTGTTATCAGATTGAATGTATGATGCGTACTCTCAAGTTAGCTGGCCACGTTGGATTCGATAGTCTACCCAGTCAGTTGGTGAATAAATCAGTGCAAAATGGATTTTTATTTAACATTCTTTGCATCGGTATGATAAATGTTAATTTTTTTAAATATATATGTTAAGCTAATACTCCAAATCATATATTTAATCTTGATTTATTCCAACAGGTGAAACTGGACTTGGAAAATCCACGCTTATGGATTCTCTCTTTAACACAAGTTTTGAATCTAGTCCCAGTCCTCATAATTTACCATCTGTAAAACTCAAGGCGCACACTTATGAACTACAAGAGAGTAATGTTAGACTGAAGTTAACTATCGTCGACACAGTTGGTTATGGCGATCAAATCAACAAAGAAGATAGTTTTAAGGCTGTTGTCGATTATATAGATGCGCAGTTCGAAGCATACTTGCAAGAAGAATTGAAGATCAAACGCTCACTGTCGACTTATCACGACAGTCGTATCCATGTTTGCCTTTATTTTATATGTCCCACTGGTCACGGGTGAGTGTATACATGTTGATTTTGCAGGTTGTGTATCATTTATATATAATTATAATATAAATTATAGAAATTATTCTAATTATATTTATAATACTTTCAGCTTAAAGTCCATTGATTTAGTATGCATGAAGAAACTTGATACTAAAGTTAATATCATTCCAATTATCGCTAAGGCAGATACAATATCCAAGACTGAATTACAAAAGTTTAAAGTATGTAGCATTTTCATTATTTCGGTACATCCGTTATTTATAATATAACGTATCTTGTAATTGTAGGATAAATCGTTACGTTTCAGAGCAAAATAATATCTGAGTTGCAAAACAACGGAATACATATTTATCAGTTTCCCACTGATGATGAGAGTGTGTCGGAAGTAAATGCTACCATGAATACTCATGTACCATTTGCTGTAGTCGGCAGTACTGATTTCGTCCGAGTCGGCAACAAAATGATGCGCTCTCGTCAATATCCGTGGGGTACAGTTCAAGGTATGATAATAAATCCTCTCTGTAGTTGATGAATAGAACCATAAGTTGACACATTGAATTATTGTTACAGTCGAAAACGAATCCCATTGTGATTTTGTAAAATTACGTGAGATGCTAATAAGCACAAATATGGAAGATATGCGTGAGAAAACGCATTGCCGTCATTATGAACTTTATCGCAAAAAGAGATTGGAGCAGGTACATTTCATTATTTATTAGAAATTTCATTATTTCTTGGAAATTTCAGAAAATTTGTTTTTCTTATCACTATTCACATACATGCACATACATCATAAATTTCCAGATGGGTTTCAGCGATGTTGATAGCGATAACAAACCGGTAAGCTTTCAACAGACGTGTGAAGCGAAGAGATCCATTCATTTGCAAGAATTGCAACAAAAAGAGGATGAAATGCGGCAGATGTTTGTCGCTCGTGTGAAGGAAAAAGAAGCTGAACTAAAAGAAGCGGAGAAGGAGGTAACGATTCTGATTTTACGATCAACAAAATTGCCAATTGTCCATTGTTTAACAATAATTGTTTTACTAATATTTGTTAATCTTTAGCTTCATAGTAAATTTGACAAGTTGAAGAAGGATCATACAGAAGAAAAGAAAAAGCTAGAGGACAGTCGTAAGAAACTTGAAGATGATATATTGGAATTTAATAGACGAAAGGCACAATTTGCACAACAACCGCAACACCACACGTTGACGTTAGGCAAAAGCAAAAAAAAGTGAAGAATATCGATCAGAAAGATATCTTTTTATACCATTCAAACATGACTATGCATTTTATTTGCATCATTCATTTAAAAGTATTGTTATTTTAATTATCGTACATCTGATTATATAATATTTTATTTTTTACTGTACTATTTTATTATACTATTTTATTTTATCATAGTACTCAATTACCAAAAGTTTACCTAAGCATGCGCGAAAAAGTCTTGCTTAAAATCAAGTAGGACTTGTATTAAGTAGAAATAATATCCGTGGAAAAAGAATATAACCAAATTTTTACTTATGCCTTGCTTTATATATATAATGACCTTGACTTTATATGAAATATATATTTAGTATGCTAGCCAAAAAATTAGTTTCTTTCAACATTATATTATCGATCAATAGTTATATGACTTTTGCAATAATGCTATTAATAAACGGCGATATTGTTACCTATTTAAGAAAAAAATAATATCATCTGGATATTGCATTAGTCTTTGCAAATACTTCGTAATGTGTGTATTAAACATTTTTAATAACATTTCAATATTTTATCACCCATTAAAAAAATGATTATTTGCCTAATGATGATAATTTAACCCTTTCGTGCCTAGTGGAATATATATCCCAATCCTTCAAAAATTCATATCTTCCACAAAAATAAAGATAGCAACTTCTTTCTGGGCTTATTTTAAAAATAAAGGATAAGGCTTTTCACAAAAATCGACATCTTTATAAGCTTCATTTTGAACTACATACCTCGTTAAATACTCAATAAAATGGAGTAAAACTGAAAAATATATCTTCTACAAAAATTAAGATAATGAGTTCTTCCTGGGCTCACTTTGAAGCTCAACGTAAGGATTATATGTTGATTCAATGTTACGGACTAAAATGCTAAATTTTGTTGTAATCACATCTAAGTATATATAGATTTTTGAGATTACTGATGAGACGAATCTGCAGTACAAATTCCAAAATTTAAAACGGTGAATCCAATATAGCGGACTAAAATGTTAAATTTTATTGGATTTGAATGAAATTCATTTTTCAAGGATTTTTTGATTCTCTGATTACGAATCTAAAGTCGAAATTTTTAAATTCAAGATGTCAAATTTAATAGAACTGACAAAATGTAAATGTAAAAAAAACAAAATGTAAAAACAGTTGAATCAATTCTATTCACATTTCGTAGGATTTTTTGAAGCACTGGATAGGATAGAGTGGAATTTACACATTGTACGTAAACAAACCATTTTTCTTTCTTTCTCATTATTTGAATACATACAGCACCGTAATCGTGTATTTGACTCTTCTGACATAAGTATTCCTACTTATTTTCCTATTTTTCTGACGTCATTGGGTAATGACTTTCTTTATTTTCTTGAAATAAAAGTGTGTCCACTCCTTTAAGTTTTCGAGAACTATTAGGTGAGTGCAAAAGTTCGTATCTCATTTATTATTAAAACTCAAGCAATAAATTGGCACGTCAAATTTTTTTATTAACACGTTCGCTACCACCACCGCATATATGCAGCGTTCCGATTCTTGTATCTGAGCCCACTGCCGCAGATATGCGGTGCGTGTTCTTTATCAGTTTATGATAACGTATTGCAATAAATTTGGAAATGAACAGTATTGTTGAGCTAAAAAACAATAAAATAGATGTAGGATGTCCTTGGTCTAGAGATAATTACATTTTTATGTTATAAATATATCCTAAAAGATCCATGTCAATTGGGGACATATTCTAACAAAAAACACTCTGAGCTGTGGTGCAAGAATTTTTTTCTCAGATCCTGGTAGCGAACGTGTTGATCGATAATACAATCGGCTTTGTTTTCTACAATCTTTTCCTAGTGTTCCGGTAACATACGGATGCTTTGATTATAAAACGACTTCAATTTTGCGTTGAAGAAGGAAGAAAGATGGATTTTGGCAGCTTCCAAAGATGCGAATTTTTTCCATTCAAATTGTTTTGCATGTATCGAAACAAGTGATAATCTGATGCGATATCAGGAAAATACAGTGGATATGATATCCCATTTCAGTTTCTTTTGAGCCAAGGGCTCGGATTCTGGTCCAGTATTATAGCTACCGAGCCATGTTATATAAATGATTTACTGAGAGCAACAGGGATAAAACAATTTATTTACCACTTGAGAATCACCTTGTGAGAAAAATATATCTATTTTGTACATTATTTATATAACTTGCTAGCTGTCATAATTAGTCGCAGCAGTTATAATAGTTTTGCCGTAATTTCGAAAATATTTATACTATACATATATACTATTTTAAATATATATTAGGTAAAGACGTGCGTTTTTTTCTTTTTGAAACTAGAAGTATTGATATTTTCGATCTTTCTCATTTTTTAAACTAATATTTTGTGTTAAAAATAGAATTGTTGAATTTTTAGATATTTCATTAATTATTCTCTTAAATCTTATGAAAGCTTCATACCTATACAATACCAAAATCTATCAGAGATATTTCAGAAATGTTTCATGTGAAAAAGTGAAACATCTCAGAAACGTTTCAAAACGTTTCTGAGACAATCCTGAGACAGCTCTGGAATAACAAAATGTCCGAGATTATTGCATTTGAAACTTTCCTGAAGATGTGCTAAAAGGTTACCGAAATATATCTGAAACTTTTTTGAACGTTTGTTGAAAAGTTACTGAAATAATTACTGAAATATAATTAAATTTTTAGCTGAGCTGTTTCTGAAATCTTTCACATGCAATAAATTTTATGATTTTTCCTTTCTTGCACGCAGTTATTTTGGGATATCCTGTATAGCGGAGATTTTGGTCAATATATTTTGGTCAATATAAGAAATATATATAGGGAATTATATAAGTATGCATCACATAAGCTATAAGGATATCGTCACAGTTGTGGGACTCATTACTTGCTCTCTACTTCGGAAAAAACATTTACAATCTCCAACGGGCTACAGCAGGGCACAATCAACTCACCGACTCTTTTCAACATATACACCGCCGATTTGCTGATATGCTTTGGCCCCGTAAACACAGACTGTACGCTGATAGCTTACACAGACGATTTAATTGTTTACACAGCCGACAAAAAACCGTCAGTAATTAAAAACAAACTACAAAACGCAATAGATAAGATTCTATACTATTATAATGCTTGGAAATTTAAAGTTAACCTAAGCAAATGCGAAACGATACTATTCAGACCTTCCACCAAAGCCGCTTCAGCAAACATAAAAAAACACTACAAAAACTTCAACATCATAGGAAACGTTAACGATAAAACAGTCATCCCACACAAGAAAACAGTAAAATATTTAGGCATACAACTGGATGAAAGATTACACCTAAACCAACATGTAGAATTACAACTAGAAAAGGCTAAAAGAACATTCTTAAGCCTAGGAAATCTATTCTACGCCAGAAACCTGAACAGGAGAGTAAAAATCACCTGCTACCAAACTCTAATTAGACCCATCATTACCTACGCATGTGAAATATGATACAACTTGAACGCTGCTAATATGGAAACAATCAGAAAATTCGAAAGGAAATGCATCAGAGCATGCACGAACACATATAGATCAAAAGAATCAAACTACACAAAATACACAAACAACTTAACTCTTTATAACACAGCACAGATACACAGAATAGACTGCTTTACAATCCAGCTAATTAGAAGATACTTCAAAAGACTCTCCGAAATCAAAGAAAATAGCCTCATATATTCCATCCCATACATAAACGAAAATTATATTATAAACACGCTAAAAACGGGCTTCATACCGCCAGAAGCATTCATATACCTCGACGCGAACGGATACATAACAGATAAACACGGAATACCGATAATATACCACATTCCAAGACATAAAAAACACAAAAACATCATATATAACAAACACATAGACAGTAAGAAGCAAGAAACCATCCTAAAATACGACACAACGATACCTAATAGAGACAAATTACTTTCCAACGAAAAAAACACAAAACAATACTGGTGGCTCAAGAGAAATTAAACAATCACAGATACTTATCCGATTTACCTCTAAGAGGCCCAGTTTGACACACCACTAGAAATAAGTTAACACAAAACATAAGACTGAAAAGTATAACGCAAGTACAAGCACAAGACTCTCATAGAATAAGTAGGAAATGTCAAACAAGCAGTATTACATACAATTAAGTCGAACGAAATGAAAGTCTCAGCGATACACTTAAATTATTCACAAGTTGTTTACACTTTTATTCACATTTTTTTTTGTATTACATTTCAATTTCGAATTGTGATTCAAATTATGATAATAATTCCGTATTCATATTTTTGTACAGCATAAGTTAAGACTAGTTTAAGTTTTGTACAGTAGTAAGTTAAAAAAAAAAAAAAAAAAGGTAAAAAGAAAAAAAAAGTAAAGTATAAAGCTTCCTTCTTTGACGGCGACCAATTTGGGGGGAAAGGGCAGAAAACAAGATAGTACAAAGCTACAGCACAGGCGAACCTAGAACTAAGAAAAAACATGTTAATAGCAATTAAGGCTTAAGGCACATCACAACAACTTTTGTTTGCGAAACACTCTCTGAGTGGTCAAACGATACAGCGTTAGCAAGTAATTTAATACTTTAGTTTATTGAAGTATAATCCAATGTAATTAGAATTTAAGGTCGAAAAATAAACAACTTAAAACAAACAAACATTACTTGCTCTCTGATCATCGAAGTTTTAAATAACGGCAATTACGTACTAAGAATGGATGGGTGATCGGCTGGCTGCCATTCGAGATTGACTCCATACAAAGATACGAAAAACAACTTCCACGGTTATCGACAAATAGTCAAGACTATCTCCCCTTTACTCAACAATATTTTCAATTTGTTATAATTATAACAAATAATCACTCATAGTTATTAATAAATATTAGTAAATTTTTATTGTACAAATGTTATTCAATTTTTTTAAATAATTTTATTTGACTGTTATATTTTCCATAATACATGATACGAAATGTGTGAACAATACTAGTGAATAATTCATAAATAAATAAACATAACTATGTATATAAAGAAATTATATAAAGAAATTATATTTCGAGTTTATTATATGTGAAAGGTTTCCGAAACATTTCAATTAAAAGATTTGCAAAATCACTTCATGTGAAACGTTTCAGAAATAACACAACTGAAAGTTTTGGAAAATTACCTTCATGTGAAAAATTTCAGAAACATTCCTGTTACAATATTTCAAATGACATATTGCAAAATTTTTTCAGAAATGTTGCACATGGAACGTGAA